TATACACACACACACACACATATATATATATATACATATATATATATATAGCCGTTACAATGACAAGGCTCATCGCTCTATGTGCAATGTAGGTAAATACCTAACCTCACATAATCCAGTACATTCGGACATCTCAACGTTAAATCACGTGGACATCTTTGACATTTACTGGCGCAAGTCTTGGCAATCATTAATAGCCTTAGGGCACATGTTCATTTTCTAAAGAAACGGAGGGGATTCACCTTGTCACTGTATTTCGGAATTTGAATTGGTTTTAGTCCTTATTGGCGCACGTGCGTTTTACTTTGACTTCTTTCTTTGTGCAAGGTACAGGGGTCGTACCGGCTCAACCTTCTCCAAAGCCCGCGAAATTGAGAAGAAAACTATCCCAGGCCGTGCCTGGTGGTATGTTTCGATAGGTTTTCTATTGTTATCTACAAATAGTCCGGCAGTTACATTTATTTAGCTTGCATGCATATATTAGTTGTTGGCATATTTGCCCAAACTTAGACTAGTCGAGATAGATACGCAACGATGCGCAGCCCATTTGGGGTTGGCAAATATGCATGTTGTGTAAACATTCCCAAGCTGTTGCATGCACTTCTTTAGAAGTGACCTACTGGCGTGATCTTCATTTGGTACTCATGCGTATGTATTGATTGCACTCCAACTAAAAGGTAAAGGAAGTGCACAGGCCCCATACTCACCGAACGCTCCCAGCAGAAAACACATGTCTCAAGCTGGTCCCGGGGGTATGTCGTTGCATATTATATACCATCATATCCGTACCTGTGTAGTGAATGCAATTCCATAAATACTCTTTCTTGTTGATTCGCAGTAGACAAGTTGTATCGCCAACACTCTTTTTTATTTCTTAGCCTGATCAGCTATATTGTACAATTCGATTCCCCTAGTAGATACGTCAGGCTCATAGCATCGGGCTCGTTTTCGCTGCAACAACAATTCTCAATAGAAAAAGTTGCTATTTATAGAATTCTTTTTCGGATTGCCTGCTCATGCCATTGCTTTACACAGGTGCAGATGCAATAGGTGCTTTTCCTATAGCTCTGATATATCGAGATTTTCGACCCGGATTAGTAAGAGTCATCACAAGCACGTCACAAGTGACTTACGCAAGAATCTTAAAAAGTGCATTCTGTTACCCTACCTACAGGTCCCGGATCATACGGACAAGGCGCCCCTATGCTAGGCCAGGGTAACGGGCCACATGGGGGAACCCCTATGACGCTGATGAAGAAGCAACCTGGAGGCCAACCACCCACCCCGAAACAGTTCAGCAACCAGCCACTACCACAGCAACAGCAACAGCAACAACAGCAACAGATACTCAGACAACAGGGGCAAATACAACAGCAACACCAACAACACCCCCAACAACAGCATCCGCAGCAGTCGCAACAGCAGATGCCGCCCGTGGGCCGGCAGAGTATGAAGCCCGTGCCAAATTCGAGGTACGTGAATCACACACACGCCCTCATATATATATAGATATATATATATTGATAGATAGATAGATAGATAGATAGATAGATAGATATAGAGATAGATAGATTATATATATATATATATATATAGATACATAGATACATAGATATATACATACATAGATACATACATAGATACATACATAGATACATACATACATACATACATACATACATCCATACATAGATACATACATCGTTACATAGATACATAGACACATAGACACATAAATACATAGATACATAGACATAAATACATAAATACATAGATACATGTACATATATACATATATACATATATACATATACATATACATATACATATACATATACATATACATGTACATATACATATACATATACATATACATATACATATACATATACATATACATATACATATACACATACATATACATATACATATACATATCCATATACATATACATATACATATACATATACATAAAAAATTGTGTGTTGTGGTGTATCCGTACGCACTAAACCTGTTTCATATTTTTTCCATGTGTTTGTGGACAAGTGTATCTGTTTATGTGTTTGTATCAAGTTTGCGAGCCCTGTTCAATATAGCCGTTCTCCAAGCTTGTGATTCTGCTACAATCCCACCAACCTAAGAAATATATAGGCAAAGAGCACGACAGGGACTGTAGGGTTTCTGAATTCGCAACTGTTCCACTGCCCACAATACTCATCCTGAGCTCATATCTCTGGCAATTCTATAGCAGACAATCCATCGGGGGACCCTCTCCCGGCATGCACGCACACGATTCCATGCAAGCCATGATGTCGCGGGGCGATAGGGGCGACATAAAGTACAATCAACAACAGCAGCACCACGACGGCTATAGGCAGAGTGATATGGAGGGGAAACCCATGATGAATCAGATGTACAAAATGGTATGATATTGTCAACCAGCAAGTGTTTAGAGAATTGTATGGTCATCCTATTTTGCTACGTAGTGTATGTGTCGTTAGTTCGTATACAATTGCATCAGCCTGGGCGTGGTGGCGTGTTTCTGTGATGGCATCCGTTGTGGTGTACGCATACGAATGAGCCGGTCTCACGATTGCGACCGCATAGCTAGATTACACAGGATTGTTCCTTCTGACTCATGCAGCATAGACCACAATCAAGTTGACTCCAGATATTCTAGCTGCAAATATCACCATTGGGGCAGGCCGATGTCTTATATATTCCCTTTGCACGCACCTTATTAGGAGGAAGGCCGCTCCCCAGTTACGGTAGGCAACCAAGGACAATCCGGCCCCGGCCCAGGACCCAACAAGGGACTCAGTCAAGGCTCAGGACCAGGATCAGGACCAGGGCCAGGGCCAGGACCCGGAACTCCTCTATCACCACCACGTGGGCGTATGAGCCAAGATGCCATGCACAACCAGATGTGGCAGCAGCGTATGGGTTCACAACAACAACAGCAGCAGCAAGGAAAGAATGGGCCTATGGGCCACAATATTCCCCAACAGGGAGGCGGTAGGAGCATGCACATGAGCATGTCCCAGGGTCAGGGTCAAGGACCGGGCTCACAAATTCAGGGCCCAGGGCAAGGAGGGCCGGGCCCAGGGCAAGGCCCGGGACCGGGACCTGGACCAGGTCAGCCGGGCCAAGGGGGACATCCACAACCGCATCCTTCAGGACAGGGTAGGTGGTTTTGCGGATGGCGGGGATGTAGTGGGTTGGAGATCGTTGTCGATTGAGATTGGGTATTTGTCGCATATTACCAGAGAGTACTATGTATTCAGAGAGAATTCTATGTGTTTCGGAATTTTTGTATTCTTTATTTTTCGGAGAATATATATATATATATATATATATA